GACCTGCACGGCGTCGCCGACTACGCCTCACCACACCCCACATCACGTTTTTTCAGGCATCGGGGTTAAGCAGAAGAGTTCCTCTTGTACTTCCACATCACAGGATCTTACCAGAACAGCCAAACGTGGAACCTCACTGATATCAACGCTTTTGTCCAAAGCTACACTAAACACCTGGGCTTCTTTCAAAGCAGCTGTTTGTTGGGCTCTGACATTGTTACCTATTTCCTGGATGTATCATTCCACAGTTCTGGCTGATGCAGGTATGTCTTGAATCCTTGCTTTAATTGCATCTTTGTTTGGAAGCCCATTAAATAACATCTCTGAGCTTGAGAGAAAAGCCTCCTTAATAAATTCTCCGTCTGTAAACAGCTCTCCATGTTTAGCAATGCACTGCCCAATACGAAAACTTACTTATGGTCCATGATGTTTAGCAGCTGTAAAAATGTGCAAGAGTACTTGCTTGCTTCTCATATCTTGACACAGCACGTGTAATTGATTCAACTTTCTCTGCCTCATACTTGAAGCTTCTTGATCTTTCATCTCAAACTGTTGTTTAACATTGGAGGTCTGGCAACCAACACTCTCAAGGCAAAGGGCACATATAGCATGATCTTTCTGTTGCACAAAACCCCAGTCTTCTGTCCAAATTGGCATAAAAGTCCAGGAATTACCTTTTTTTGCTCGCTTTAAGGCCATATTATACAGGACTGGCTAGCTAGCAGCATCCCTCTCCCCTGTAATTTTTAGCCAATTGGAAAATCTCCTCCTTGAATCGCTACCTTAGCGTGGTGGAGGGGTTTGTGTGTCCCAGGGATCCCAGGGGATATGTTGTCTGGGGGCTTTTGCCCCCTGGTAGGGTCTCCCATGGCAAATTGGTCCTGGGTGAGGGACCAGACAAAGAGCGATTCAGAAGACCCTTATGAAAAGAACATCGAGCGAACAGTTAACCCGCCCGGGATAGGGTTACCGGGGCCCCGCCCTGGAGCCAGGCCCGGGGAAGGTGCCCAAGGCGAGTGTCTGGTGGTGCCTTAGTCCATGGGGGGGTGCTGGAAGGTGCTCCACCTAGAGACTTCAATGCTCACGTGGGTAACGACAGCGAGACCTGGAGGGGCGTGATTGGGAGGAACAGCCTCCCTGATCTGAACCCGAGTGGTGCTTTGTTATTGGACTTCTGTGCTAATCACAAATTGGCCATAACGAACACCTTGTTCGAACATAAGAGTGCACGTGGCACCAGGACGCTCTAGGCCGTAGGTCGATGATCAATTTTGTAATCGTATCACCAGACCTGCAACCATATGTTCTGGACACTCGGGTAAAGAGAAGGGCTGAGCTGTCAACTGATCACCACCTGGTGGTGAGTTGGATCAGGTGGCGGGGGAGGACGCTGGACAGACCTGGTGCACCTAAACGCATAGTGAGGGTGTGCTGGGAACATCTAGCAGAGGCCCCAGTCCGCGAGATCACACACGCACACCTCCGGCAGAGCTTCAACAGTTCGGAGGAGTTCGGAGAGGCCATGGAAAAAGACTTTTGGACTGCCTCGAAGAGATTTTGGCAAACCGTCAGGCGTCTCAGGAGGGGAAAGCGGTGCTCTACCTGCACTGTGTATAGTGCTGGAGGAACGCTGCTGACGTCGACTGAGAAAATTTTCAGGCGGTGGAAGGAATACTTCGAGGACCTCCTTAATCCCACTGACACGTCTTCCGAGGAGGAAGCAGAGTCTGGGGATGAGGGGAATGACCCGCCAATTTCCGGGGGCGAGGTCACTGAGGCAGTTAAACAACTCCTTGGTGGCAGAGCCCCTGGTGTTGATGAGGTCCGCCCTGAGTTCCTGAAGGCTCTGGATGATGTAGGGCTGTCCTGGTTGACACGCCTCTGCAATGTTGCGTGGAGATCAGGGGCAGTACCTGTGGACTGGCAGACCGGGGTGGTAGTCCCCATCTTTAAGAAGTGGGACCGTAGGGTGTGTTCCAACTACAGGGGATCACACTCCTCAGCCTCCCTGGGAAAGTCTATGCCAGGGTGCTGGAAAGGAGAGTTCGTCCGCTAGTCGAACCTCGGATACAGGAGGAACAATCCCTTGGGGTGTCCTGTGGGAGGTGTTGCGGGAGTATGGGGTGTCTGGCCCATTGCTACGGGCCATTCGATCCCTATACAACCGTTGCAAGAGCTTGGTTCGCATTGCCGGCAATAAGGACTCGTTCCCAGTGGGTGATGGGCTCTGTCAGGGCTACACTATATATATCCAAGCTATATGATCATAATTATAATATTATAATATAAGAATAATATTTCTGATAGAGTCAAAATCAAATTGAATTGGGACCTGGTAAACCGACCTAATTGCTCTTAGGACCAAAGAAGCTTCTCGGAAGATAGTTGAAACATCTTCAAGGAAGTCCAGTTGCCTTCCTTTCAGTGCTCTTTAGACTACCCAGTAAGGTTGGGTGAAATGTAAAAATTTTCCAACCAACAATCGTCAGTCCACTAACTGAGATATTCGCGCATGCGTAGACTTTTTGATGGGCGGAGCAATGTAATCATCCACGGACTGATTTGCGGAACACAGAAGAAGTCCAAACATGAGCGAACTTATTGCCACATTGCACACTGGAAGGTGCAGATAGATTTCCTGTCAAATTTGTATGTTTTTAAACGTTTTGTTGGGAGGGAATATTTTACCTTATTTGCTTGTTTGTTCCAGTATTAATAAAGATACTATAAATTTCGTTCTTTGAATTCTTTTGGCAGCAAAGAAAGCTGAAAAAAATTATCTTTATTTTACATTTCCGGAAACGGAGACCCGAACACATGAACACACACGCTCAGGTCTGAAAGCAGTAGCAGCCAGCATGGTTATATATATTTCCGCTGCACGTCACACACACACCCTCAGTTTACTCAGTTCCTCTTTCTTTGTGTCAGATTTCAGGTGCAGCTCTGCACTAAACTTCCTCTTTTTTTTACTTCTCCTTTCTAAAGTCTGTTGCCAGGGCAACTTGTCACCTTCCGACCTAGATCTTTGTCACCTCTGGGCCTGGTTTATAAAGGCCTCTATTATTAAAATACATGAAACAATCTAATCAGAAAATAAGCATTAAGAATATATATATATTTAAATCCTAACAATACTTTTTGGATTATTCATTTATTTGAGATGCACTAAATCACACTGAAGACTTAACTCTACGCCAGACTTTTATTTTCTTCTTATGTTCGCTGGAAAAGACCTTTTGAAATTTAACTTATTTGTTGTTTGGACAAGCGTGTAAAACATAAACACTAGAACAGCCTGTAAACATGGTTATACTGGAAAAAGAAGCCAGTTTCTCTTTATTTCCCTCTCCACCATTGTGGTTATTATATTTGAATAAAATGTTTTTGGGTTTTTCTGAACACAGGCTACTGCCTTGCTTTCTATCTGTTATGACTTTGAGTAAATGGATTGCTGCTGCATTTGAGAGCACTATGATGAGGGTGCCGTTAAAACAACGCTATTATTTAGTTCTCGTGACTGCTTCTATTAGCTTCAACCAACATCATTAGCAAACTTACTCTTGGGCAAATAAATACAGTGCAAAAAAACCCCCAAACATCCATTTATTTTACTTAAACAAGCAGCTGTTTTTTATGTGTATTAAAGCTATATAAATATTTAACAGTGCAAATGCAAATTCCTTTCTGAAAGTTTAACCAAAAGGCATTTCCAGTAGAAATGGGCTGACATATCCTGAGCATAACCATGTATAACATCCACTGAAGTTAAAAAGAGGTGCTTTGCTACATTAAACTGCAGTGTGCCAAATAAAAAAGTCAAATATGTATTTTTCGGACCACAAGGTGCATGGGATTATTAGGCACATTAAGCGAAACAAAGCAGTCAGATAAATCAAACTATTCAACTCATTCTTCTTGCTTCCTCTACTTCTGTACCATTGATTCATTAATTCTGTATTCTATCACAGCTGCTCTATTCTCATGTTGTTCATGGAAAGCACTCCAAGGGATCATTAACACCGCCCAAAAGATCACTGGCTGCTCTCTCCCCACACTGGAAGTTCTACACAACGTCCACTGTTTTAAAAAGGCCCAAAATATCATAAAAGACACCTCACATCCTGGCCACTCCCTGTTTGAACTGTTGCCCTCAGGCAGACGGTACAGGGCAATCAGCTCAAGGACTAACAGACTCAAACACAGTTGTTATCCAACTGCAATAACACATCTGAGTACTACAAAAAAATGTCCATCACGCCACTCTTGTGTTAATCTATGCACGGTCTGAAGCATGTGTGTGGGAATGTATGTGAATGTTTTACTGTTACGTCTTATTAGTATTTTAAGTATTCTATCTATTTTATTTATTGAATTTTATTGTTTTATTTATATTTTGATATTGCTAGGGATGATGCAATGATCGGGGACCATTCTTAATTTCATTGTTCTTGTGACAATGACAATAAAGTTTCTGATTCTGATTCTTGTTGCAGTATATTAATGACTAACCTCATATTGTGGATGGATTATCTTAGTTGTTCTCCTGACTGAAGTTTGGTCTGTTTACAGCATCCTGCCATGCGATTGCATTTGTCTCTAACCATCAGGAACCTTCACGTTAACTTTTATTGAGTGGAAAAGTGTTAGCGTTCATCCTCCAGCTTTTCTGTTTATGTTATGCTAACATAGCTGTGTCGCTAGCGATCATGTAGCACATTACATACCAGCTAGCCAAACTTCAGTAACCCTACAAACGTCACTGCTGTTTTGTTTCCTGTCTTCATTTATGTTGGAAGTGATAGCAGAGCTGTACGTTAGATTTTTTTCAGAAATCTCTCAGTCAGAACATGCTATATCATGCTTAGGTAACTAGCGAAACTAGCGAGCTAACTTCCGCTAACTTCCTGCTAACTTCTAACTCTGCTAAATGTAATGAATTCTGTTTTCATGGATGCCTGGGTGTTAAACATCATAGTTACACCTGGTAAAGCAACAGCGCTGATTGTTTTATTAAAGATGGAAGAATTTAGACAGTTTTTAACTCCTAGTGATATTCGTTTGACTTCGGGACCTTAAAGGAGTTTAGGACCCAGATTACTCCCAGATTTACAAGCACCTTAGTGCAAAAAAAATGTGCTTTGTTGTCTATCTGACGAACAAACACCACACCAGTTAAGTTGCACCATTTTTACAAACTAATTCTGGTTCATCCGTTTCACTCAACAATCTGCTTTCCCCCCCATTCTCATTCTCAATTACCACCGTGCTTTTTCGTCACTGCGCATGCACGGTCTACCCATATTCTACCGCAATATTTCATTTTCTTATCGTTGCCTAGCATTGTACCGGTATTACCGTGAAGGGTATAATATGGCGCAGCCCTACATGCGAACACAATTTAATGCGAAGAGTTGATCCAAAAAGTCAGTCTTAAATAAGAAGATAACAATATACATACATAACTCACAGTAACTGCACTTGCAGTTTCTTTCTGGTGTGGATCTGTTGGTGGATTTTAAGGTAACGTGGAGCTTTAAAGGTCTTATCACAAACGTCACATTTATAAGGTCTCCCAACAGTGTGGGTAAACATATGGTGTTGTAAGTCTTTATATTTCACAAACAGTTTACCACACTGGTCACAGCAGTAAACGTCATTTCCAGTGTGAATGCGGAGGTGAATATTTCGGCTACTTAGCCAGCGGAAGGTTTTTCCACAAATGTGGCAGCTGTACGCCTTAAATCCGGAGTGGATAACTTGATGATGCTGTAAGTAGGTATGGCGAGCAAAAGCTTTACCACACTGATCACAGCTGTACGCCTTAACTCCACTGTGGCTGAGTTGGTGTGTTTTTAAGCCTCCAGCGTGGGTAAAAGATTTTCCACACAAGTCACAGGTGTATGCTTTAACTCCACTGTGGATGAGTTTGTGTGTTTGTAAGCTAACAGCCTGGGTAAAAGATTTTCCACACAAGTCACAGGTGTATGCTTTAACTCCACTGTGGATAAGTTGGTGTGTTTGTAAGTTAACAGCCTGGGTAAAAGATTTTCCACACAAGTCACAGGTGTATGCTTTAACGCCACTATGGATAAGTTGGTGTGTTTTTAAGCTTCCAACCCAGGTAAAAGATTTTCCACACAAGTCACAGGTGTATGCCTTAACTCCACTGTGGATGAGTTGGTGTGTTTGTAAGTTAACAGCCTGGGTAAAAGATTTTCCACACAAGTCACAGGTGTATGCTTTAACTCCACTGTGGATGAGTTGGTGTGCTTTTAAGCTTCCAGCCGAGGTAAAAGATTTTCCACACAAGTCACAGGTGTACGCTTTAATGCCACTGTGGATGAGTTGGTGTCTTTTTAAGCTTCCAGTGCGGTTAAAAGATTTTCCACACAAGTCACAGGTGTATACTTTAACGCCACTGTGGATGAGTTGGTGTCTTTTTAAGCTAACAGCGTGGGAAAAAGATTTTCCACACAAGTCACAGGTGTACGCTTTAACCCCACTGTGGATGAGTTGGTGTGTTTGTAAGCTTCCAGCCCAGGTAAAAGATTTTCCACACAAGTCACAGGTGTATGCTTTAACGCCACTGTGGATGAGTTGGTGTGTTTTTAAGCTAACAGCCTGGGTAAAAGATTTTCCACACAAGTCACAGGTGTATGCTTTAACTCCACTGTGGATGAGTTGGTGTCTTTTTAAACTTCCAGCCCAGGTAAAAGATTTTCCACACAAGTCACAGGTGTACGCTTTAACTCCACTGTGGATGAGTTGGTGTCTTTTTAAGCTTCCAGCGTGGGTAAAAGATTTTCCACACAAGTCACAGGTGTACGCTTTAATTCCACTGTGGATGAGTTGGTGTGTTTGCAAGCTTCCAGCGTGGGTAAAAGATTTTCCACACAAGTCACAGGTGTACGCTTTAACTCCACTGTGGATGAGTTGGTGTGTTTGTAAGCTTCCAGCGTGGGTAAAAGATTTTCCACACAAGTCACAGGTGTACGCTTTAACTCCACTGTGGATGAGTTGGTGTCTTTTTAAGCTTCCAGTGTGGTTAAAAGATTTTCCACACAAGTCACAGGTGTACACTTTATATCGACTGTGGATGAGTTGGTGTGTTTTCAAGCTTCCAGCCTGGGTAAAAGATTTTCCACACAAGTCACAGGTGTATGCCTTAACTCCACTGTGGATGAGTTGGTGTGCTTTTAAGCTTCCAGCCTGGGTAAAAGATTTTCCACACAAGTCACAGTTGTATGCTTTAACTCCACTGTGGGTGAGTTGGTGTCTTTTAAAGCTTCCAGCCCAGGTAAAAGATTTTCCACACAAGTCACAGGTGTACGCTTTAACTCCACTGTGGATGAGTTGGTGTGTTTGTAAGCTAAAAGCCTGGGTAAAAGATTTTCCACACAAGTCACAGGTGTACACTTTATATCGACTGTGGATGAGTTGGTGTGTTTTTAAGTTTCCAGCCAGGGTAAAAGATTTTCCACACAAGTCACAGGTGTACACTTTAACTCCACTGTGGATGAGTTGGTGTGTTTTTAAGCTTCCAGCCTGGGTAAAAGATTTTCCACACAAGTCACAGGTGTATGCTTTAACTCCACTGTGGATGATTTTGTGTTTTTTTAAGTTTCCAGCCAGGGTAAAAGATTTTCCACACAAGTCACAGCTGTACGGTTTAACTCCACTGTGGATGAGTTGGTGTGTTTTCAGGTGTTCAGCCTTGGTAAAATCCTTCCCACGCTCATCACAGCTGTATGTTTTCTCTCCCTTTCTTCTGTGAGGTTTGTCGGCCTCCTGAGAGCGCTGACTTCTCGCTCCATGTTGGTCCTGCAGTGACAGAGATACAAACAGAGGCAGTGAGTGAAATGCAGTCTACTTCTTCTTCTTCTTTGTGTTTAACGGCGGTTGACATCCAACGTAAAGGAGCATTACCACCTCTTACTGTTCTGGAGTATGGGTCAGACAGTGAGTTTACAAGCTGTATCAAAACAAAAAACAAAAAACAAAAAAAACCCTACACTCTTTCATAAACACCTATATCCTTCAGAAACCCCACCAGTTCCCTCACCTGTGCCCTACTACCCTCCAACACACTCTTCAGATTAAATTCCCCAATTCCCCACTCCTTCAATCTATTCTGCAGAACTTTCCTCTGCACATCATAACCCTTACTGCGGTGTAAGGGTATTACATGCTCTACTGTCTCCATCTCCTCCTGGCACACTCCACAAAGCCCCGTCTCATGTTCTCCTATCATCTGTAGTGTTTTATTCAATGCACAATGTCCCAGTCTAAGCCTGGTAATGACCACCTCATCTCTCCTATTACCCCCATAAAACCTACTCACTGCCACCTCCCTCTTAAGATGATACAATTGCCTGCCCGTACTCCCTGAATCCCACCGCTTCTGCCACTCCTGAACAACCTGCCTCCAAACAATACCTTTTGCTTCAGATCCGCTGCTTGTAAATTCCATCTCAGTCCTATTTTCGCCAACCTATCCACCTTTTCATTTCCATTGATCCCTACATGAGCTGGCAGCCAAAGAAAGTGAATATTGCCACCACAACACCTTATTCTGCTGATAGTCTCCAGAATAGCATACAGCATGCCCTGCCTTGTCTTCGAACAAAATGATTGTAGACTTGAAAGAACAGCTGCCGAGTCAGAACACACTACCACCTGCCTGATTTTCGAACACTCTACCCATTTCAATGCTACCAAAATTGCTACCATTTCAACCGAGTATACTGCCAGTCCATCTGAAGTGCGTCTGTGTATTCCAATATTTTTTGACGGAACTGCTATTCCAAACCCTGTACTTCCAGTAACTGGACTTTTAGCACCATCCGTGAACACATGAATACAGGAGTCCACAGGAGGGGTCTCCAATAATCATGGGGGAACCACAGAGAACACTACTGCAGGACATATTTTAAGTTCATACACCTGACACTCCTTAGCCCACTGATTCCCCACCTTTCCAAAATGATCCTTCTGACTTCTTCCATACTCCCAGCATTCCAAAAGTACCTCCTTTGTGGGATGTGTGTCACCATGACCACCAAGATCAACCCAGTAATTCACCGATACTTGCTTCCTCCTAAGATCTAGGGGCATTTCTCCCATCTCCACCTGTAGGGCACCAACTGGAGACGTCTTAAAAGCTCCACAGCACACTCTAAGGGCTTCCGATTGCAGAACATCTAAACTTCTCAACACATAGGGAGCTGCTGAACCATATGCCACACACCCATAATCAAAGACCGACCTAATTAATGCCTGGTAAAGTCTTTTCAAAGCAGAAGAGCTCGCTCCCCAACCCCTCCCAGCTACACACCTCATAACATTAATAACTTTTTTGCATTTGTTTCAATCCGGTCAATATGCTCCCGCCATGTCAGTCTCAAGTTAAATGCAGTCGTGGAACAAACTGAAACTCCATTAGTGGAATCAAAGATGTCAACAAACACGTCGTAGGTGTGTTACCACCACCTTCTGGTGATATTATCACATTACAATTATGAGTTACAATGAGAGTTGTGACGTGCACACAGTTTCAATAACAGAGATATTTTTGCTCACCTTTTGGGTTGAAGTCATTGTTTCCTCTGTAGTGGCTGAGCTGAGTCTAAATGGCTCATCGCCTCCTGATGATCAGCTGGAACAAAAAATATATTTATATGTATTTCATCCTTGACCAAAAGAAGCTGTGATGGAAAGCTCAAATTCAATTCAATTCAATTTTTATTTATATAGCGCCAAATCACAACAAAAGTCGCCTCAAGGCGCTTCATAGATACAGAGAAAAACCCAACAATCATATGACCCCCTATGAGCAAGCACTTTGGCGACAGTGGGAAGGAAAAACTCCCTTTTAACAGGAAGAAACCTCCGGCAGAACCAGGCTCAGGGAGGGCATCTGCTGCGACCGGTTGGGGTGAGAGAAGGAAGACAGGATAAAGACATGCTGTGGAAGAGAGACAGAGGTTAATAACAGATATGATTCAATGCAGAGAGGTCTATTAATACATAGTGAGTGAGAAAGGTGACTGGAAAGGAAAAACTCAATGCATCATGGGAATCCCCCGGCAGCCTACGTCTATTGCAGCATAACTAAGGGAGGATTCAGGGTCACCTGGTCCAGCCCTAACTATATGCTTTAGCAAAAAGGAAAGTTTGAAGCCTAATCTTAAAAGTAGAGATAGTGTCTGTCTCCCGAATCCAAACTAGAAGCTGGTTCAACAGAAGAGGGGCCTGAAAACTGAAGGCTCTCCCTCCCATTCTACTTTTAAATACTCTAGGAACAACAAGTAAGCCTGCAGTGCGAGAGCGAAGTGCTCTAATAGGGTGATATGGTACTACAAGGTCATTAAGATAAGATGGGGCCTGATTATTTAAGACCTTGTATGTGAGGAGCAGGATATTGAATTCAATTCTGGACTTAACAGGAAGCCAATGAAGGGAAGCCAAAACAGGAGAAATATGCTCTCTTTTTCTAGTCCCTGTCAGGACTCTTGCTGCAGCATTTTGGATTAGCTGAAGGCTTTTCAGTGAGTTTTTTGGACATCCTGATAATAATGAATTACAGTAGTCCAGCCTGGAAGTAATAAATGCATGAACTAGTTTTTCAGTGTCACTCTGAAACAGGATATTTCTCATTTTAGAGATGTTGCGCAAATGGAAGAACGCAGTCTTACATATTTGTTTAATATGTGCGTTGAAGGACATGTCCTGGTCAAAAATGACTCCAAGGTTCCTCACAGCGTTACTGGAGGCCAAGTTAATGCCATCCAGAGTAAGAATCTGGTTAGATACCATATTTATAAGCTTTTCAGGGCCGAGTACAATAACCTCAGTTTGATCTGAATTAAGAAGCAGAAAGTTAGCGGCCATCCAGGTCTTTATGTCTTTAAGACATTCCTGCAGTTTAACTCATTGGTGTGTGTCATCTGGCTTCATGGACAGATAGAGCTGGGTGTCATCTGCATAGCAGTGAAAATGTATGCTATGTCTTCTAATGATAGCTTGAAGGCCTGTGGTACATAGCCGATCATTAGAGATAGGTTGATCATATTTAAGATAGAAGAATTAATTAATGGCAGGACTTCTTTAAGCAGTTTTGTAGGAATGGGGTCTAAAAGACACGTTGATGGTTTGGAGGAAGTAATTATTGAAGTTAACTCAGAAAGATCAATTGGAGAAAAAGAGTCTAACTTAACATCAATGGTACTAAGAGTAGCTGTGGATAATATTACATCTGTGGGATGATTATTGGTAATTTTTTCTCTAATGATAAAAATTTTATTTGTGAAGAAGTTCATGAAGTCATTACTAGTTAACGTTAAAGGGATGGTTGGCTCAAAAGAGCTCTGACTGTTTGTCAGCCTGGCTACAGTGCTGAAGAGAAACCTGGGGTTGTTCTTATTTTCTTCAATCAGTGATGAATAGTAAGATGTTCTGGCTTTGCGGAGGGCTTTCTTATAAAGCAGCAAACTATTTCTCCAGGCAAAATGATGATCCTCTAAATTTGTGACATTTCCTCTCCAGATTACGAGTCATCTGCTTTAGGGTATGTGTTTGAGAATTATACCACGGAGTCAGGTACTTCTGATTAGAGACCTTCGTTTTCACAGGAGCTACAGTATCCAGAGTCGTACGTAGTGAGGAGGTGAAATTATTAACAAGATAATCGACCTCTGTTGGGGTAGCGTTCAGATAGCTGCTCTGCTCTGTGTTGGTACAGGTCATTGAAGATGATAACAGTGGGTGGATTATATTCTTAAACTTAGTTACAGCGCTTTCAGAAAGACATCTACTTTGATAAAGTCTACTCTCTACCGCTGTGTAATCAATTATTGTAAATGTAAATGTTATCAGGAAATGATCAGACAGGAGAGGGTTTTCAGGAAACACTGTTAAATGTTCAGTTTCTATGCCATATGTTAAAACAAGATCCAGAGTGTGATTAAAGTGGTGGGTGGGTTCTTTTACATTTTGAGAGAAACCAATTGAGTCTAATAACAGATTAAATGCCATGTTGAGGCTGTCATTTTTAGCATCTACATGGATGTTAAAATCACCCACAATAATTATTTTATCTGAGCTCAGAACTAAATTAGATATAAAGTCTGAGAAATCAGACAGAAACTCTGTGTAAGGCCCAGGTGGACGATAGATGATAACAAGTAAGACTGGTTTCTGAGTTTCACAGCTGGGGTGAACAATGTTAAGCATCAGGCTTTCAAATGAATTAAAAGTCTGTCTTGGTCTTTCATTAATTAATAGGCTGGTGTGAAAAATTGCTGCCACACCGCCCGCTCGGCCTGTGCTTCGAGATTTCTGGTAGTTAGAATGACTCGGGGGAGAGTCATTCTAACTAAGTCATTCATGAGAGCATGAGGGTGGGAATGGATGTTTGTATATGTGTGTGCCTGTATTTCTGTGTCTATATGTCAGGTTGGGTGTCAGGCGCCACCTCTCTGGGGACATCTCAGGCCCTCCAAGGTTTGGAGGCCTATCTCCCCCTACCACCACTTCCCCTGCCAGTGGCGGACTCCCTCAGGTGTCGGTGCGTTGGTGGTTCTTTGTGTCCGGGGGTGGGCGTCCAGGTACACACCGGCTCACTCCTTGACGGCCGCTTATCGGGGCCTGGAGCCTGGGGCTGGCTCGGGCCACTTCGGAGGTGGGGTGCCCCCGGCCTCTCGGCCTGGGGCTCGGTCACTCAGGCACGGCTGGCTGCCGGCGGAGCTCACGGGCACGTCACTGCAACTCCCCCGGGCTTCTGCTCCGCGGCTGCTGAGTGAGCCCTCATCTGGGACTCTCCT